GCCTCCTATTTTTTTTTTTTTTTTTTTTTATTTATTTTTTTTTTTTTGAAAGAAAAAAAACATGTTAAGCACTGCTAAAATGTATTTCTGATTTTAAAAAAGAAAAAAAGAAAACGGCGGCCGCCATCTTGAAAAATAGCCTGAATGTCAGGAAAAATGTACGGAGCGGCCATTTTGAAAGAAAATAAAAAGAAAAAAAAAGGGCCTCCTCCTTCCCATTTTTCGAAAAAACAGGAAGCTAAACATGTTTTTTTTTTAATTTGGCCTTATATAAAAATAAAAAAAACGATCCAACTGTACCGGTAGTTATTCTTTAAGCCACTGGCTGCCTAAATTAAAACCACCAAGAACTTTATTTGCCATTCAGGCCATTAAAAAAATATACATGTTTAGCGTCCCCGCCCGTTTCCTTTTTGGGGGCCGCCTCCTATTTTTTTTTTTTTGAAATTTTTTTGAATTTTTTTTTTTCTGAAAGAAAAAAAAAACAGCGTCCCTGCCTGCTTCCTTTTAGGGGGCCGCCTCCTATTTTTTTTTTTTTTAATTATTATTATTTTTTTTTTTTTTTTTTTTTTTTAAATTTTTTGTAATTGTTTATTTTTTTAAATTTTTTTTAAATTTTTTTTTGAAAGAAGAAAAAACAGCGTCCCCGCCTGCTTCCTTTTTGGGGCCGCCTCCTATTTTTTATTTATTTTTTTAATTTTTTTTAATTTTTATTTTTTTATTTTTTGAAAGAAAAAAAACATGAAAAGCACTGCTAAAATGAATTTCTGATTTTAAAAAAGAAAAAAAAAATTGTCGGCCGCCATCTTGAAAAATAGCCAGAATGTCAGGGAAAATGTACGGAGCAGCCTTTTTGAACGAAAGAAAGAAAAAAAAAGGGCCTCCTCCTTCCCATTTTTCGAAAAAACAGGACGCTAAACATGTTTTTTTTTTAATTTGGCCTTATATAAAAATAAAAAAACGATCCAACTGTACCTGTAGTTATTCTTTAAGCCACTGGAACTGCGTAGAGTTCCGTAGTGTAGCGTACCGACTACGCAGAAATTAGGCTGCGTATTAATGGGAAAATAGTCCCTGCGTAGGTTATGCGTAGGCTGGAGTACAGGTTTGCTTATTGTTGCTTACTGTGTAGAAAGCTTTTACTGCTTTGACGATCTGGCGTAGGGTAGCGTACTGTTGCGTAGTCATGTAGCATAGTGTTGCGTAAAAAGGCGTACTTTCTGCGTCAAGTTTCTACGCCGAAACTACGCGAAAAAAATTAAACATGTTGAATTGTTTTCGTTCATCTTGCGTACCTCTTTCCGTCCCTCAGCATATAGTAACGTAGGCCAGCGTAGTTGGTACGCAACACTACGCAACTCTACGTATTGACCCCACGCCAATTAGTGACCCGCAAGTGTCACAAATAAAGTATTAAAAATATGCTCATCTGACCCTAATTAAACGCCTAAACCCCCCGAGCTTTCGGGGGTTTATGGCCCCTTGAAACCCGTGGACCCCACGCCTATATTGTATATACACTCAACTCGCCGCGATCTGATCTCTCCCCCCCCCCCCCCCCCCAACTTTGAAGAACGTAACCCCCCGAGCTTTTGGGGGTTTATGGCCCCTTGAAACCCGTGGACCCCACGCCTATATTATATATACGCTCAACTCAGGACCCGCGGAAATCCGCGGGATTCTAGAGGGGGGGGGCGCAGGCAAAAAATTAATTTTTTTCATTTCGGGGGCTCGATCATTTCCAATTTTTGGGAAATTTTCGGGGGCTACTTTTTCAATTTTCGGGGGCTCTTTTTTCTGGGGCTACTTTTTCATTAATTCATAAAAGGATAGGTCTACACTTTGTTGAGATTTGTTTAGTAGGCTAAGGTTTCAGGCTTAATACTTCATAATTGCCTATTTAAAAAAAAAAAAACATTTTTCTAGTTCAATAACTAAGTTTTCATGCATTGATTTGATGCAAGAACTGTAACATAATTAATAGACCCTAGATTGTGATTATTTCTGACCATGAATTTCGATAATCATTTTTCAAAGTAAAATTTTCACAAGAAAATCAGACAGTCGTTTAAAAACGTAGACATTAGTAATACTTTTACTAATTCTAAGCTCAGGTTTCGTAAATCTATTCACGAAACTATATTGAAATCGCGGCAATAATGATGCAAACCAACAGATAACAATTTCAAAGTGTCAAATCTCTTCGACTCGAGCTCAGCTCAGCTTAACTCACACACACTCCAGCGTAACAAAAAGCTCGAACACCGACGCCGCAGGCTTCGGACGCCTGCAGTGCGCGGTGCCGGTGTTACACTGCACTGTGAGTACTGTATGTGTGAGGACTGAAGGCAGCTTGCGACATGAACTGTCAGTCCAATGGTTTTCTTGTGAAAACTTTCCTTTAGAAAATGATAATCAAAAATGTAGTATACATTAACCGTCATAATCACAAAATAAGCTTTGATTTCATACCTCCATTCACGAAAACTATATAAAAATCGCGGCAATCATGATGGAAATAGGTCTCTAAGTTTGGACGTCGACGGGAAGCCCCGTGTATAATTGTGCAGCTACTACATGCAAAGCACATCCTAGCTACTACAAAGCACATCCTATAGCAAGACGCTCTACTCTCGGTAATCCCGCCCTTTGCATAGAGCATTTAATACGCAACTTAATGTGAGTGGATGGTCATCGGTAGTGTGTCTACGGATGTCATGTTGCATATCCATGAGGTATCTCTGTCGTCACGCATATCCTGCATTATGCATGTCGCGTCTGTTTTCGCCCTGGACGTCGACACGGAGGAGGACCTCGGGCGGAGTATAGCCAATTCGCTAGAGTAGACTCTCCCGCGGACGATGGCACCGGGCACGGGTACCCCGAGGGGAGGGTTCAGGAGGAGATAGCCGCACCAACTTCGGTCGGCGATCTCATTAAAAAACAATAGAATACAAAGGCTCGCCGAGACGTCGCGCCCCCCGCGGAGCCTTAGCGTATTATTATTATAGAAAATACTGTGGTCACAAATTGAAAATGTCACTGAGTGACTGAAATAAATCTACTCCATCAATGGAGCAACTTCATCAAAGAAAATTGCCAACAATTTGTATCAGTGGGATAAAAAAAACCACGTATAAAAACAATATTCATGTGTTATGCAAATGAGCTATGATGAAATCATATTTTAGGCCTTTGTCACTAGCATATTTCAGAATTGGCCACCTGGATGTTGTTCAGACGTCTTCTGAATACATTTACACTGGCCATCCTTTTACAGCAGCTAAAACATTTTTTGGGGGTTTGCTACCTGGGTATTATTTCACTTTTCACTTTATTCAGTAGAGTGAGGGCGGATCAGAAAATTTAAGCACTGTGTGCATAATTATGAAAAATTGCTTGTTCAGGAATTACAGAAAACTGTTATTGATTCAAAGTACACTATTCTGTTTATTAATATGTTGCTGTTTAAATTTTACCAATTAAGCTTATTCTAGTGTATATATGCATATAATATTCAAGTTCAGGGAATCTATTGTTGAAGGTTCCAGGCCATTTTGACACAATTTTCTTATCTGCCCTTGCAGGCTGACTTCAATTTAATTGAGCAGATAGAGTACTTCTTTGTACTTGTAGAATTGTAGAAATGAAACTGAAATATTACTGAATTTCTTGTTATGAGTTGGTAGTAATTTGCTGACTAATTAAAGCTGGGGTATAGTTTTGGTGATTCTTAAAATATAAACTTTAAAAGTTTGAATTTATTGTGAGATAGAATGAAAGATTATATGATGAAACACATATCGCTTGAAATATGAGATCTAAAAACCATTATAAATGTGTATAATATTACGATAAAAATGTCTTATATCAAAAGTCGGGGTCCCGGAAAATTAGCTCTTTTTTTTCCTTTTTGATATAAAACAACTTCACAGGCATGGAAGGGCCCAGGGGAGGCAAGTTTCAGGATAATATCTTCGTATATAGCTTTCTAACATAAATTAGCTAAATCTATGAAATAATTGTTCGGAAGGCCTATCTTAAGGGAAATAATATCAGTGCCGATAGAGGGCGCTAAATCTGGTCTAACGGTCGAATTCAAATTTTCACAAAGATTCAACGTGTAAAACATTGGTGTAACGGTCACTTTGCTGTTTTAGAGTTGGAGTGTTTCATAAGAGACCAATATAATTGATATTATTGAATCTTACCAAAACTATACCCCAGCTTAAACCTTATTCTAGTATTATGTATAAAAATTTCTTGTTCAGGAATTACAGAAAAACTGTTATTGATTCAAAGTACACTATTCTGTTTATTAATATGTTGCTGTTTAAATTTTACCAATTAAGCTTATTCTAGTGTTTATCTGCATATACATGTATGTACATGTATATTCAAGTTCAGGGAATCTATTGTTGAAGGTTCCATGCCATTTTGACACAATTTTCTTATCTGCCCTTGCAGGCTGACTTCAATGTAATTGAGCAGATAGAGTACTTCCTTGTACTTGTAGAATTGTAGAAATGAAACTGAAATATTACTGAATTTCTTGTTGTGAGTTGGTAGTAATTTTCTGACTAATTAACCTTATTCTAGTGTTTATGTATATATATATATATATATATATATATATATGGGTGTGTCTACAGTATTAGGATGATTTTGCGGGGGTATTTAGTTGTAAAGATAGCCACAGATTTTATCCCAGAAAGAAAAGATACTTTTCTTTACCTTTCATCATATTCTGGGGGGTAAGCATTATTTGGTAACGTATGTAACAGGTACAGACTCGAGCAAAGTCCCTCTTTGAGAAAGAGTTTAGGTGGAAAATTAATAGATTTTGTGAATTTGTGAAGGTCCCGGGCCATGGTGACACAATTTTCTTATCAATTTTTCAGTTTTCAAATTTTCAATTTTCAATTTTTCAATTTTCTTTTCAATTTTTCTGTAAGCTGAATTCAATTTAAGTGAGCAGATAGAGTACTACCTTGTGCTTGTAGACTTGTATAAATGAAACTGAACTAGAACTTAATTCTTGTTAGGAGTTGTAATTTTCTGACTTCATGATGATTCTGTAAGTGTGTAAATGTAATGATATGTAATTTGCACAATAATGGAATAAATCTTTTTGAAGTGAAATTTTTCAGTTAGATACATGTATATGAAATAACTTGTCTGCTGTGTGTTTCTCTTGATGTAGTAATGAAGATGACTTATGCAGGTAGCTTGTGATCTGATTACGCTTCATGGAAAAGGGAGCACACACTTGTCATGCAGCATTAATGAACATGGTCAGTGATAGTAATTCTGTGATAGAATTTACTAAAAGTTTGAGTTAATCATGTTAAGTACACTTTCTGAAATCTCAATTTTGAAATTAATCAGAAAGATGTACATGTACAATGTTTAATCAAAATCATTAAATTTGACCAGACTCACCACATCGAAATGACTAGTGCTATTGTCAGATCACATTCTACTTGGGAACTAGTCAAATTGACCAGTTTCTTGTGAAAAATGACTAGATATTTCTAGTCATGTTTCGACTAGTCCCCCTAGTCATTCCTGTCGACTAGATTACCTTAGTAAAATGACTGGAATCTAGTCAAATTTGACTAGTTTCTAGTCATGTTTCCTAGTCATGTTTCGACTAGTCCCCCTAGTCATTCCTGTCGACTAGATTACCCTAGTAAAAATGACTAGAATCTAGTAAGCTCCTATTGCACCCCGCAATCTAGTCAAATTTGACTAGTTTCTAGTCAAAAGTGACTAGGGATTTTTAAGAATGTAATAAGATCATTCATGTGTGGACCAGTTTGAACATCTTTTGTCTTCCTCGTACTGCTATAATGTAATCTCTCTTCCTCCTTCCCTTCTCTTTATCTTGTTAGATACAAGAGGGCGATTGGGTGTGTGTGTGTGTGTGTGTGGGATGTGTGTGTCTGTTGGATATGTGTGTGTGTGTGTTGGATGTGTCTGCATGTGATTATTACTAATGTTTTACTTGTAATTTGTAAATTTTGTAAAAGGGGCACCAGTTCATAAGATCTCTATCCTTTTTGGTTGCCCCTAACGATATGTAAACTTATGATTATGTCAACATGTTCTATTGTATAGTACATTTACTATTTTTATATCGTGAATATTTAATGAATTGATTCGAGTTGAATTCCACAACTTACATGTATATTTTGTATTTTAATTTTGCTTCAGAGATAAGGCAACTCAACATCAAAGTACAACAACTGACTTCAGAAATCAGAGAGGTAAAGAAGGTATGCTTGCTAATCCTTGAGACGGTGCAGGGCTAGGTTAACCAGGTTCCTGAAGAGGAAGGGATTCCGGAGGGAATTCCCTCCCTTCCTCTGGACAGTGTCCAGGATCTGGACCAAAAAAACCTAGGCAAGTCAACATTAAGCTGGAACAGATGAAATCGGAGGTTAGAGAATTAAAGAAGCTTGGCTTGCTAATCCTTCAGACGTTGCAGGGCCAGGTTAACCAGGTTCCTGAGGAGGAAGGGATTCCTGAAGGAATTCCCTCCCATCCTCTGGACAGTGTCCAGGATCTGGATGAGACTAACCTGGTCCTGCAGGATGATCCTGCCAAGAGGAGGCAAATGGTCAGTATCATGTTCCGTTCATATTAAATTTTCACCTCTCTTCCAATGAAGAGGATTCACCAAATCCTTGACAAAGTTTTGTGGAACATGGATTGCAAAAATCAAATTGGCGAGAAATTCAAACACTATGACAATTCAACTGGTGGAAAGAAAGAAAGAAAAAAAAACACAACCCCCTCCATCGATGCATATCCCGAGGAGGAGAAAGAAGGAATGTTCTCAGATATACCAAGCACTTTACCATCCTCTCCAAAATGGGTGATCATTGCCCAAAGGATGTCAGAACGTTTTGGGGTTAAGGAGGTATGGTACGATTGTTATGATTTGAAACCTATTGCCACGATCAAAGGCATGATTGAATACATTCGCTAGTCTCTCGATGAACTTAAGACGCTGATATTGGCAAATACATCGGAGGGAGATTATGTCAGACTCATACTAGTGTCTGATCAGTTAAACATCCCCATCCTTTCCCTGGGCCACCTTGAGGGATTGTGGTATAGACATTTCTAGAACGACTCAAAGAGGTGCTAAATAGCAACCAGGATTTTTTTCATCAATCCCGGATTCACGATTCGATTCCATCATGTTGTGAAATCTATCACAGTACCAGCTAGTGATGATGGTATGTACTTGGCGAAAGCCATCCTCATTGCAAAATTTCAAAAACTAAAACACCATAAGTACAGAAATTGGTCTAGGAACAATTGCGCTATCCCGGCTGCGTGTGAATTGCACAGGTTGGCGGGTGTACCAGAGGTTGTTCTTTCACCAGATTGTAGGTTGATGATTTATAGGGATCCCTGCAAAGAAGCTCTCATTTATGCAAGTCCTCCCGCAGGTGAACTCATCGTTTTGTATTTGATGGGCAATCACTACGCTGTGATAGTGAACCACAAAGCTTTTGTATGTGCAAGGTTTGTGTGTGCAGAGTGTCATGAGACATATCGCGATCCCAGATATCACAGCTGCTGTCACATGCGTTTAGATTGTTAATCAAGGAATTGTGATCGTAATATTTTCTGTGAGATCGTTAACACATCCCTGGTATGTGATAAATGCAACGTGACTTTTCTTATGGAAGGTTGTTTCAAAATGCATACCATTCACATTTTTTATGGTAAAACTGCTTGCCAAAGAAACTTCAAATGTCAAATTTGCGAGAAAACTGACTTAATAGGCATTGAAAGGGCAGGTCACAAATGTCGAAACATGAAATGTAATACCTGCAAACAGACAGTAGATGGCCGCTACCATAAATGCTATATGAAGGTGCCCCCCCCCCCCAAAGCCCTTATTTCCTGCAGGAAAATACAAAGCCTGCCACGCTTCGACCCCAAAAGAAAAAAAATCAGGAAATAGCAATGATTTCAAATGCACACAGGAAACTGGTTTGCATGTTCCAAACTACTGGTATGTCCATGCCACTTGGGAGTGTGCAAATTGCATGGACAGTAAACATCACGCAAAGCAGCATTGCGAACGATGTGGCCCTCCGGACAAAAGGTCCATCACATTCTGGGGCAAGTCCACCCTCGCTGACTTTTCAAAGTAGTTGTTTTCTGTTGAAAATCATCAATCCGTAGCCATAGCGCACAACGCCAAGGCGTACGATTCTTACTTTTTACATTGAATCATCTTGTAGAACAGGGAGTCCACCTCAAGACATACTGAATAATGCCAAAATCATCAGCCTCAAAACAAAAGACCCTAAAAAAGAAGTCGAAGACTCCTTGAATTTCTTTCAGATGGCCCTCTCGAAAACTGCCCAAAACCTTTGGCCTGAATAAAATGAAGAAAGGGTACTTTCCCCATCTTTTCAACACTGCTGCAAATGCAAATTACCAAAAAATGTTCTACAGTGTTGGAAGCATGGGGAAACGTGCACAGGCTGAATTTCATTCATGGTACAAAGCGCTTTTCAAAGAAAACTATGTTTTCTATTTCAAGAAAGAAATGAGTGCCTATCGTCAAAGTGACGTCCACATCTTACATCAAAGTTGTAAGATTTTCCGTGCGCATTTCAAAACACAAATGAAGGAAGAATCGACCCTTATTTACGTTGCTTAACCCTTCCCAGTGCTTGAAACCTTTCGTTTCATATCAATAATCTCAAATAAAAAACAAAAGCGTTATTTCCGCAAGAGCTAGCGTGCCCAAAGCACCAATCTATTACAGGGGGCGAGTTGTACTGGTTACACCACGAAGCAAGACCAAGTGGTATCAACATTAAACACTACTTCAACGGCGGAGAAAGGAAAGTGCATGGCCATTATGTAGACGGGTACAGGGAGGTACAGGGACCAGTCTACAATAAGATCATTCATGTGTGGACCAGTTTGAACATCTTTGGTCTTCCTCGTACTGCTATAATGTAATCTCTCTTCCTCCTTCCCTTCTCTTTATCTTGTTAGAGACAAAAGGGGGGGAATGTGTGTGTGTGTGTGTGTGTGTGGGATGTGTGTGTGTTTGTTGGATATGTGTGTGTGTGTGTTGGATGTGTCTGCGTGTGATTATTACTAATGTTTTACTTGTAATTTGTAAATTTTGTAAAAGGGCACCAGTTCATAAGATCTCTATCCTTTTTGGTTGCCCCTAACAATATGTTAACTTATGATTATGTCAACATGTTCTATTGTATTGTACATTTACTATTTTTATATCGTGAATATTTAATGAATTGAATTGAGTTGAATTCTACAACTTACATGTATATTTTGTATTTTAATTTTGCTTCAGAGATAAGGCAAGTCAACAAATGACTTCCAAGATCCGAGAGGTGAAGAAAGTGTACATACTCATCCTTGAGACGGTGCAGAGCCAGGTAACCCAGGTTCCTGAAGAGGAAGGGATATTTGGTGGTATCCTTCTGTCCTCTCCCCAATTACAATCTACTGTGAAAAAAGCTGCAGAGAGTGTAGACGGGTACAGGGAGGAGGATGGAAAGAAAAACATTTGGGAATTTCAACAACGCTGCAAATGCAAATTACGTAGGACCTTTGCCAGACAAAAAGTTCTACGGTGTTGGAAGTATGGGGAAAAGTGCCCTGATGGAATTTCATTCATGGTACGACGTGCTGTTCAAAGAAAACTATGTTTTCGATTTCAAGAAAGAAATGCTTGACTATTGTCAAAGTGACGTTCACATCTTACATCAAAGTTGTAAGGTTTTCTGCGCCAATTTCAAATACATCAGTATGACAGAGACAAACAAAGGTGGAATCGACCCTTTCTTACGTTGCTTAACCCTCCCCAGTGCTTGCAACCTTTTGTTTCGTACTAATAATCTAAAACCCAAAACAATAGCGCTTATCCCCCAGGACGGTTACGTGCGCGCAAAGAACCAATCTCTTATAGCGGGTGAGTGGTTACACCACGAGGCAATGCTAAGTGGTATTGACATTAAACACCACTTCAACAGGGGAAAGGAAAGTGCATGGCCGTTATGTAAACGGGTACAGGGAGGGGGAGGATGGAAAGAAATACATCTGGGAATTTTTTAGGTTGTTTCTATCACGGTTTAAAAAAAATATATAAATCTACTCTTACATACACCCTCTGAGTCTGTTAAGCAGTACGTTTGCCTTGTTTTTCTCTGTCTTCATGTTGTACCACTTTAATAATTCATATTTGATTACTCATATACATGTAGTTTAGGGACAAGCCTATGATAGGCCTTTGTTTCTCCCCTACTTGCTGATACTGCTGTTCTGTTGTGTATTTGTTGGAATTGGCTTTGTACTATGTATGTTTGTTAATGTGATTTTTATTAAATGTGCAAAATAAAATGAATTGAATTGAAGTGTCATCTGTCAAAAAATGAATGCCAGTTCTAGAGCTGTCAAAAACAATGGCCAAGAGATCAGTCTAAAACAACATGCCATCCTGTGCATAAGTATAATATAGAATCAGATCCTTTGGCATGGTACTGTGATTATGTCAAAGATTTTCCATTACCTGCACAACTTGCCAAAAAATATATCTGCATAGCTGGGCATATAATCGTCCCCAAATGCACACAGCTGGACCCAGAGACAGTAGACATAAAGGGGCTCTCAGCCCCCCAAAAAGAATGCAAGCAACATGGTATAGTTTGCTCACACAGCCAAAGAGCTATCATTGGAATATATCAATATAGAGCTAAATATTGTGTAATATCATCGCCTGATTGGGGCAGTTCAGTGTCATCTTACGCCATTCCTTGGGGGTAAATGCCACAGCGCTTGATGAACAGCGTAAAACAGAACGAAAGACCACTGTCTGCTTATCGACAGAAAATGGTGAGAATTCTCACAGATGATCTTTTAAGAGTGTACTCCAGAGATCTGTTTTTGGAACTGAAACATTCTAATTTGTCATTTATTTCCACAAGGTTTAAAAAACGGCAGAAATTTGCTTGTCCATTTAGATCTATTTCAATAGGTCTAGGCTTTGAGTAAGGCTAGCTGGTAACCATTTAGTAATCAGATCATATCACATGGTCATACACAAACAAACTGTAATCATACAAAAACATTCAACACACAAACCAGAATCACAGAAAGAAAAACTTATCAGTACTTCCAACAGGTACATGTAGGTATAATCCACACTTTTCATCTTTTGATATAACCAAATTTTCTGTAAAAGTATGATTTTTGAAAGAAACACTTCCAGTAATACCATAATCATTTCCCCCTTATTTTTGAGAAGGGGGGGGGGGTTCTTTTTGGAAAAATGAAGGTAATGGGGACAGTAATGTTTGCCCTCCTGGGTGTATCCACTATCTCACAATAATATTTTTGCTTTACTGGATTTTATAACACATGCTCCGACGACAACTGCTCCAGTGCAAATTTTATTTTTAAACACAATCCAAATTCTTGACCTCTAACCTGGTTCGAACACAATGTTAAAGCACCATGTAAAATCAAATTGCAGCCCAAGCAAACATAATAAAGCATGGAAAAAAATTTGCAGAAGCAAATATCGGATCACCACCCTCTGGAGCTTCACTACCAATATGAATGCGCTTTTTGAAGCATACGACTATACCACATTATCTTGGGGCTGAATATTTGAGGAACGTATGTTTACATTAATAGATAATCATTTACAATTTAAGCTAAGATTTTAATCAAAAGTTATCATTTTTCATTATTGAGCATTGAGTCACTCTCTAGATCAAGATGTTGTCTTGTAATTCATTACATTCTTTTGGGGAATATCTATATGCTCAAATATTTCATTTTTTAAAACAATGTCTTAGATTATCAATGATGGACTGAAACATACCAGTAACCATTTTACCTCTGTAAAGATCAGAAAAGGTACCCCAAAAAGCAGTCACACCCTACAAAACAATGCAAAACTTTCTGCATACTTAGAAATGCAGACACAGACTCATTGACACAACTTGGGCCATGACACAAACAAGACAGCCAAACCTCTCTTGTGATCCTCTTTCTGGAAACGATGCTCGAGTGACGATGCATGCACTGCCCTGCTGCCATTGCCGATGTTATTTACATCCCTTGAATACTTGTGATATATTTTCTGGAAGCGATGCGAGGAGTGACGATGGATGCAACCCATGGTCTCTGTATCCCTCTGCTGGCCATAAAATTCAAGTTCAAATGTTCAGATTACTTGCTCTACTGCGATGATGTACTGTTTTTCAAGAATCAAAGTGTTTGTGAAGCGGTTCTTGTGACTGTCTTCCTGTAAATGATGTGATGGGTGTCAATTTTTGCTATGAATTGTGCTGTTTCTCAAGCACTGAACATGAACACTGGCATCCCTCTGTTGGGCAACTTCACGTTCAGATGTGCAGATTCCTTAAGAGGCTTGTTGCAAATATTGGAGCGGAATATCCAAGGGCAGCATAAATGTCTAGTTGCAGTCCCTCAAGTGGATGTACATGTTGCTAACTCTCTTCTTGGGGCAACGTTGTGTTTGCAGCAATGCAGCTCTTCAAAATCATGACGACCAGATAACTATAGGTATTGTGAAAGCAAAATGAAAAAGGAAAAAGGGGTAAATAAAAAACTCAAAGCCAACGAAAATGCCAATTTAATGGTTTTATTACAACATTCAATGGAAGCAAATCTTTTGATCAAATACTACGTCAAGCTTCTTTTTCCGGTTCCATCAGATTTGACCTATGTAGAGTTAACTTCATAATATTGAATGCCTTTTCTTTTTTGAGACACAAAGGGTCTATCACCTTTGCTTCAAGAATATTTCACTTGTTGTGTCATCTTATAAGGTATGCTCATTAGCTTTTGAGATATACTTTTGTATTCCACTCAATGCCATTCAATTTTTTTAATAAGAAAAATATAACAAGGGAAACACTCTCGGCGGTCTCGCCTGCATTACGCAATTCAATATGATGAAAAATTGAGGTTGGGACATTATTTATAGGCAGGGTGGCCCATTAGCAGGCCCCCTAAAATGAAATCCTCTAAATATAATCACATTTTGAAGTGAATATTGACTAAGAATCATCAGAAGAATTATTTACTACAGTATTAAATGTACCACAATCGATAACTTCAAATGAAATATGAACAAATTAATAAAAACTAGATGGAATTTTGACTGCGCGCAGTCGAAAATGATGCCTCCGCCATAGAGCAATTTAAACAAGTTTGGAGTTTAAATCTCCAGTGGTTCTTGAGATATCATGATAACAATCTCAATGTATGGAATTTCATAAGTTGACCTCTGTGACCCTTGACCTTTGACCTACGTGCTCCAAAATCTAATCAGATTGTCTTCCTATGGTGATACACACTATCATTAAGTTTGAAGTTTAAATCTCCAGTGGTTCTTGAGATATTATGATATGGTGATACATACTATCACTAAGTTTGAAGTGAAAATTCTCCAGTGGTTCTTGAGATATCGTGATAACGATCTCAATGTATGGAATTTCATAAGTTGACCTCTGTGACCCTTGACCTTTGACCTACGTGCTCCAAAATCTAATCAGATTGTCTTCCTATGGTGATACACACTATCATTAAGTTTGAAGTTTAAATCTCCAGTGGTTCTTGAGATATTATGATAACAATCTCAATGTATGGAATTTCATAAGTTGACCTCTGTGACCCTTGACCTTTGACCTACGTGCTCCAAAATCTAATCAAATCGTCTTCCTATGGTGATACATACTATCCTTAAGTTTGAAGTTTTTACATCTCCAGTGGTTCTTGAGATATCATGATAACAATCTCAATGTATGGAATTTCATAAGTTGACCTCTATGACCCTTGACCTTTGACCTACGTGCTCCAAAATGTAATCAGATTGTTTTCCTATAGTGATACACACTATCACTAAGTTTGAAGTTTAAATCTCCAGTGGTTCTTGAGATATCATGATAACAATCTCAATGTATGGAATTTCATAAGTTGACCTCTGTGACCCTTGACCTTTGACATACGTGCTCCAAAATCTAATCAGATCGTCTTCCTATGGTGATACATATTATCCTTAAGTTTGAAGTTTAAATCTCAAATGGTTCTTGAGATATCGCGCTAACAAACTCAATACAAGGAATTTCATAAGTTGACCTCTGTGACCTGTGACCTTTGACCTACGTACTCCAAAATCTAATCAGATCGTCTTCCTATGGTGATAAATACTATTCACGAGTCTTAAGTTTAAATCTTAAATGGTTCTTGAGATATTGTGATAACGGTCAAACGGGACGGACGTACGGACGGACGTACGGACGGACAACCCGAAAACATGATGCCTCCGGCACCACCTTCGGTGGCGGAGGCATAAAAATTATTAATTCTCATATTAAGTTGTGACAACATAATCCAAGTCTACTGACCTTTGACCTTGTGACCTGGAACTTGTGTCATATGATTTGTGATACTTGATAACCCTATAGTCCAAGTTTAATTGACTAAGAACTTAAACTTTCAAAATTATATCAACAATTCACAAACTTAACCTTAGGTTAAGTTTTCGATGTTGACGCTGCCACCGTCACCGGAAAAGTGGCGCCTATGTCTCGCTTTTTTGCTACGCAGGCGAGACAAAAATGAGCAGTGAGCGTGTGCCCTACAATATTTAATAAACTTACAACAAAGATATGTGTATGACAAGGATTTGCTGGAATATCCATGAGGACTATGCACCAAGGATCAGAGAGCTGTTGTATTGTACAGGCTAGCTGTTGTATTGTACAGGCTAGCAGTTGATTCCAGACTTTGAATGATGCAGACATGCCCGGGAGTGAGTGCTATCTTCAATCTCTTTGAACTTCTCCAATACAGAATCTGTGGAAGGACAAGATAAAATTTCAATTCATATTCATAAATTGTTTTTCGTATGTCTGTGGTTACCCACCTGGTGGTTGTTGACTGTATTTGGGGCATCCCCTGGCAGCATGAATATCATCGGACACCTAACAACTTGTGGTCTGGTTATTGAGAGCCAGAAGGATGTTAACTCCAAAAGATTCACACAAAGTAAAATGGAATGAATTTGCAACCTCATCGGGCGAGGCGATTAATGATACCTATCTAGTGCATCTAAGAATATCTCAACATATATGAGAATAAATTGAGAAGCATTGCTTCGTCCAAAGATCTTTAAAGGACAAGTCCACTCCAAAAATAAATTAGAAGACGTAGAAAAATCAGACAAACCAATCAAGTTTTAATGACATGAAAAACTTTGAAAATCACTAGACAAATTGGCAACTCACTCATGAGTCTGTGATGTCATTTCCTCACTATTCACTGGTTTTGATAAATTATTTAGTATTTATATAAAATCAATCATTATGAATATACAATATTCTTCAAAGTTTATAAAAGATTTTGTGAATTGTCATGCACGCAATATGATACAAACCATATAACCTGGGCAAAGGCATGGGGAAATCAAGTTTTGGGGGATAAAAAGGACAATAATAAGAATAAACTATGTAAAGCAATTAAGAAATAGTGAGGACATGACATCACAAACTGATAACCAAATCAGAAATTTGTGTAGTAATTTTCATTGTTCCAAAGTTCAGGGGTGATAGTGAGCACTAAAAAAAAAAAAAGTTTTTTTGTTTTGCCGTCAACCACGCCTCCCTTGGGTAAAAAAAAAAGATGAGGATTCGTGGGGGGAAAATGGCATCCAACAACATTCCCCGCTTTCGAGTAAGAAATTGGGAAAAAATTGGGAAAATTTTGAAAAAAATAGGGCGAAATAGGGAAGAATAGAGAAAATAAGGGGGAATCTGGAAAATCAGGATAAAATAGGAAAGAAGGAAAACAAGGGAAACGCTCTCGGCGGTCTCGCCTGCATAACGCAATTCAATATGATAAACCAGAACGTCAATGACGTAGCGCTCATCCGCATCTCACAACAACAAATATCGTAAATTTTATGTGGTACACTTTTGAACTGGTCAAAAAATAGAAATTTGATGCCCTGGAAGGGACATAATTTCATTTCAATTGCATAAAGTACCATAAATAATCAATGGAGCAAGAAATGAGGGAAAAGAAGCAATTTTTGTTATTTTTGGAATAAATTTGCATAAATTACCATAATTAATTAATGGAGAACAATTTCAAAATTCTGTGTAGAAGTTTAGTGTACCAAAGTTAGCTCTACGATATAAAGCAAATCAAATCAAAATCGGTCGAGAAATGAATGAGAAGAAGCCTTTTTTGTGATTTCGAATAAATTTGCATAAATTAGCATAGATAATGAATTTCACGATTCTGTGTAGAAATTTTAAATCCCCTCCTAGCCCTATCATATGAAACAATCAGAATCAAAATCGGTTGAAAAATAACGAAGAAGAAGCATTTTGAAAATCTTAATGTTGATGCCACAACAAAGTCCAAGTTTGTTGACCTTAAATGGCCTTTGACCTTAACTTAGTGACCTGAAAGTCTACTCACATGATTGGGGAGACTTGATAACCCTATAGTCCAAGTTTCATTGACTAAGAACTTATACTTTCAAAATTATATCAAAAATTCAAAAACTTAACCTAAGGTTAAGTTTTCGATGATGATGCTACAACATAGTCCAAGTCTGTTGACCTGAAATGACCTTTGACCTTGACTTTGTGATCTGAAATTCTACTCACATAATTGGGGATACTTGATTACCCTATAGTCAAAGTTTCATTGACTAAGAACTTATACTTTAAAAATTATACCAAAAATTCAAAAACTTAACCTTAGTCGTCGCCGTCGCCGTCGCCGTCGCCGTCACCGGAAAAGCGGCGCCTATGTCTCGCTTTTTGCTACGCAGGCGAGACAAAAATCAGGATAAAATAGGGAAGAAGAAAAAAAATCTGGTAAAAAAAAAAAAAAAAAATCTGTATTTTTTTTTTTTTTTTTTTTTTTTTTAATCGGGAAACCGATTTAAATTGGGTTTTTATCAGACTTTCAAAAATTACAACTTTCTTATTAGTTATCTGATTTTGCTCAGACTTTTTTTCTGCTTTTATAGAAAGTTATTTTTGAAGTGGACTTGTACTTTAAACATACCTGTGGGTTTGTAATGAGAAACATCTCCACATCATGATTGAGTCGCAGCTCAGCCAGCACCATGCTTTTCTTGAACCAGAGAATTCCCTCCCGTGTCCTCATAAGTATGCCAACAGCAGAGAGTCGTGGGGTCCAAGAAGTTTCTCATCTTGCCTCATAGGTTCATCACTTTTGTTTAATTCTGTTGGTGATTCAAAGATTATATCAATGTTCCCATTTACATTACACTGTTGATACAAGTCAAAAACAGTAATATCAGTATTGACAGATTAAATATATTTTTAATGGGATCTGGGGCAAAAAACGGGGAAAGAAATGTGAAAAGAAATTTTCGAGCTCAAGGTCAAATTTGAATTTAAAAAGAAAGAAATTTCACCATATGACTATGAGCATGATAAATCTCAGATTATGCCCGGTAGGGGCGCTGGTCCAAGACTAAGGATCGTCTTCGTAAACGCAGACCGATGCGTCCTCAAAAATAAGGATCGTCTGCATTTTTGCAGACGTTTCATATTTTTGATCGGCGCATTGGCAATGCAAAAAAAGGATTCCGTGATGATTTTCTTGATGCATTTAATTTACATTGACTTTATTTGTACAGAGACCTTCACATTACGACTCGATATTAGCAATAAATCCTTGGGAGGACGGACAACCCATAAAAGTAGACAGTGAACTTTTGGCATCGCCAGTGGGCGGTTCGGTAACCAGAGCGCCTATGAAAAAAAACGTCCGCGAAAATGCAGACGATCCCTATTTTTGAGGACGCATTTTGTCTGCGTTTAATAATTAAGAGGACGATTCTCATTCTCGGACCAGCGCCCCTACTGATGCATGATGCCTGGGTATTCTATTGGCCTCCCTAATACTAAGACACTTACCAAGAAGACACCCAACTACGAGAAGGAAGAAAATGAAATTGAACTGGAAGCCCGACTGCTGAGAACACAGCATTCTTCCAGAATCTCGGGTAAAGGTAAAGGTAAAGATAATTGCTTTCTTTTAAAACTAGTCCTAACACTGATTAATCATTTAATATGTTATGAAGAATTTAGCTTTTGGTATTGGCCTCCCTAGAGTTCCTACGATACTATAATCAACGAGATGAAAGGGGCTGAATCAACATCAAAGAACACTAGCATGTACAGGCACACACACACACACTAACAGTAACAAGTGCAGCAGTCAGCAGTATATCGGGCTCTCACTCACCGAACATGTGCTCGCTTTTTCCCCCTCACTGCCAGGAATGCATACGTCGGGCTGGCGGCTGATCTCGGAGACATCGAGATGCTGTCCTTCACAGAGCCGATACGAAAGCAGTGCTTTCAGAGCACGAACTATTTAAAATAACGATGCTGTTTCACTGCCCAAAACATGACTACTGATGTTTCAATACAATAGCTCATTTAAGCGAGGAATTAGCTTGCAACCACATATTTACTGGTCTGAAGAACGCAAACAATGCGTGTATTGTAATGATAATTGGGCCCCTAGCAGGTGGGGATTGGGATTAGATGGCCAGCGACTATGAAGTGCCGTGTGTAGACTTATTATTTACACCAATTATTTATAAATGATTCATTATTTACCTTACTATAACAATTATTTAGACATAATGCAATAAAAAGTATATATTTATTTTATAAATAATGATTTCACAATATCCATCATACACAATATTAGTTATTTATAAACAATGATTTTCATATTTGTTATTATTTGTAAATAATGATTTCAAAATATATAAATAATGATTTGCAAATTTTAATTATTTAGAAATAATGATAAATTCACTTTTAGCACAGTATAATAATTATATACTTCATGTTGGATAGTTTCTGCGCTCTTAATTAAATGGATTATTTATAATGATAATCTGGAAGAAACCATCATCGACAGGGTTGCCACAAAAAGACTGAGATATATACTTTGGACATATCAACCGAATGAATTCAAACAGATCATTACCCCCACATCCTTCTCAACGGAAATGTACATGAAAAACGCCCAAGGGGAAGACCAGCTAAGAGATGGACAGACTGCATCAAGGCGGACTGCAAAAACAGACAACTTGACTCCCTGACTAAAGCTACTAGGCTAACAGAAGACAGGAAGGTGTGGCCATAGTGAAACAGAAGCCATCATACATCCCAGTGATGGTGTGGACGGCTCAAGTAAGTCAAGTCAAGATTGTGATAATATTGTTTATTTATATACAGGGGCGTCGCCAAAGGGGGGGTGTGGGGGGGTGCGACACCCCCCCCCCCCCACCTGTCAGGATATTGTCGGTAAAATTGCGCTGCCGTCGGGAAAAAGAGAAAAGGGGGAGGGAAAAAGAGAAAAGGGGGAGGGAAAAAAAAGAGAGGGGAAAAAAGAAAGGGAAAAAAGAGAGGGAAAGGGAAAGAAAAGAAAAAAGAAAAGGAAAAGAAAAGAAAGAAAGGAAAAGAAAGGAAAGAAAGGAAAAAAAAGGAAAGAAAAGAAAGAAAAGGAAAAAAAGAAGAAAGAAATGTGAAAGGGAAACAAAAGAAACGGGGATGAAAGAGAGGAGAGAGAGGGGAGGTAAGAGTCTGAGAGAGGAGGAGTGGGAGTAAAAGAGAGAAGGGGGTTGTTGGGTGGAGTCGTCTCGTCGAGAGAGCAAGAAAGACACGGGTAAATATGTTGCTGTGTCGGGTCAGCTGTGTCGGTATTCTTGCTCGATCCTCGTGTACTATATCAATGCAGAAATTTGAAGTCGGTGAGATGTATATTGTCGGTCGGCAGACAAGTTTTTTTCCCTACGAACTGTGACTTCTTATCCGCTGTGACGACTTCGAGAGTGACTACAACTACAATACTTGTATTTTCTCGAAGTTTCACTTTCCTATAATATCAGCTAAAGAAATCGGAGGTTTAAAATTTTCGGGGAAACTAAATTCAAACAAGGTTTAAGAGTCAACAACGGTACGACGAATCGTTTTCCTTTCTTTATATTGTGATGAAACGCCAAAAAAATTCCGCGCTTTGCGCGGCAGGGAAAACTTCATTTAGACGAGTCGAGAACGGTACAACGAATCGTCTTCTTTCTCTAATAATTTAAGGAAATGTCAAAGCTTCCGCGCTTTGCGCGAGAGTGGGAAACTGAATTCAGACAAATAGGGCTTATTAAAAGTCGAAAACGGTACAACGAATCGTGTTCTTTCTCTAATAATTTGAGGAAACGTCAAAGCTTTCGCGCTTCGCGCGAGAGGGGGAAACTGAATTCAGATGAATAGGGCTTAAAAAGATTCGAAAACGGTACGAGGAATCGTCTTCCTTTCTCTATATTGTGATGAAACGCCAAAAATTCCGCGCTTTGCGCAGAAGGGGAAAACTTCTTTTAGACGAGTCGAGAACGGTACGACAAATCGTCTTCTTTCTCTAATAATTTAAGGAAACGTCAAAGCTTCGGGGGAAACTGAATTCAGACAAAATTAATAGGGCTTATTTAGAGTCGAAAACGGTACAACGAATCGTGTTCTTTCTAATAATTTGAGGAAACGTCAAAGCTTTCGCGCTTCGCGCGAGAGGGGGAACTGAATTCAGATGAATAGGGCTTAAAAAGATTCGAAAACGGTACGAGGAATCATCTTCCTTTCTCTATATTGTGATGAAACGCCAAAAATTCCGCGCTTCGCGCAGAAGGGGAAAACTTCTTTTAGACGAGTCGAGAACAGTACGACGAATCGTCTTCTTTCTCTAATAATTTAAGGAAACGTCAAAGCGTCGGGGGAAACTGAATTCAGACAAAATTAATAGGGCTTATTTAGAGTCGAAAAAGGTACAACGAATCGTGTTCTTTCTCTAATAATTTGAGGAAACGTCAAAGCTTTCGCGCTTCGCGCGAGAGGGGGAAACTGAATTCAGATGAATAGGGCTTATTAAGAGTCGAAAACGGTACGACGAATCGTCTTCTTTCTCTAATAATTTAATGAAACGTCAAAACTTCCGCGCTTCGCGCGAGAGGGGGAGAAACTAAATTCAGACAAGAATTAAGAGTCGAGAACAGTACACCGAATCGTCTGCTTTTTCTCATAAATTAATGAAACGTCAAAACTTCCGCGCTTCGCGCGGGCGGGGGAAGCTTCATTCAGATAAGGATTAAGAGTCGAGAACAGTACACCGAATCGTCTGCTTTTTCTCATAATTTAATGAAACGTCAAAGCTTCCGCGCTTTGCGCGGGAGGGGGGAACTGAATTCAGAAAAGGATAAACAGTCGAGAACGGTACAGCAAATCGTCTTCTTTTTTTATAATAATTTAATGAAACGTCAAAGCTTTCGCGCTTCGCGCGGGAAGGGGGGGGGGGGGACTTCATTCAGCCAAGGATTACCAGTCTAAAACGGTACAATTAATCGTCTTCTTTTCCTAATAATTTAAGGAAACGTCTAAGCACTTCGCGCGGCAGGCCCATCACCCACACCCCCCTAATGAGCGCGCTTTTAAGTGATTCTCTTGCTCACTACCGCCCCTCCCAAAATAAGATCCTAGCTCCGCGCCTGCATTAAAATATATAGCTATGATGCTGACAAAATTGAAGAAATAATTCGTTTATTTACGTCGTCGAGGAAAATATACATTTTGCGCATATGCAAGTACCATAGATAGTCCATAGGGAAAACAATTTAGCCTTCGGCCCCAGGTTTATAGGGTTGAATTTGTAGATATTGGACATTTAATTTTGTCGGTAATTGGTGGCTAGTTTTGTCGGTAATCGTTGGCCTCTACACCCCCCCCCCCCCCACTGAAAAAGGGCTAGCGACGCCCCTGTTTATATATGATATTTTTCAACATTTTTATTATCGTATATTAAGTTCAATTACTTCCGTTATCTTTAAATAATGATTACACAATATGCATCATTTATATATGATATATTCACTTTTCATTATTTATAAACAATGGTTGTGACAACGTCCCAGTTTTTAAAAATGTAATTATTTGCATATAAAGTTCAACAACATTTTCATTATTATAAGGACAATTTTAGAGGCTAATTTTGTTAAACTTAAACTTTAATTACTTGCAATTCGAACTTGAAATCTATTATCCAATAATAAACACATAACAAAGTATGTAAAAGGTCAAACACACGTTAATATAAAAGGATAAAACAAACCAGAAGTAGCAAACCAATTAACAAACTAAACGGTAAGATAGGGATATTTCATGTAGTATCCTAAGGAAAATGCCTGATCTGTCTTATTTTACAGTTATTTTACAGGAAATTACCTTGTTTCATATAGAGGTTGTATAGAACAAAATTAGGAACATATTTGCAATCATTTTATTTAGGGCTTGTGTATGATTAAACATTTTCTTTGGGGGAAATATAAATTTCTGAAATTTGTTAGTACATGTACAGATGGGACGGAATCTTGCAAATACGTCACAGAGTGATATAATTTGTGTTTGATTAATTTATATCTTTTAAAAATCGTAACTTCCTTATTTGTAATCAGATTTTGCTCAAATTTCCACTAACATGTTCCCCTCATTGTTTTCTGCTTAAACCGTATACTAAAATGAGGGTGGACTTACCTGGGGGCAATTCCTGCCATTTGTAAGACAGAAGTTTGTACTTTTTGCTGTTTATTGATTGTCACATTTAGCTTTCCGTACACTTTAAATGTCCTTCTTCTTCTTCTTTTAATCATAAACTCTGTTGTCCTGTTCTTCATTGTTATTCAGGACCTAGATTCCTTCTTCCCTACTACTCACCTTTCAGTGATTCTATTCTTTTTCTCCGATTTGCTCACTTCTCAATCTCTCCTCTCTCAGGCTATTCTATTGTTTTGGACTCGTCCATTTTGTGCTACATGGTTAGGATGTAAGTTAAATCGTAATTTATCTGAATGTTCTGCAGATCGAGAGAGCAAAAAGTTAGATCATGCAGATAGTCTGATAGAAGATCTAGCTCAGGACCTCCATCGTATAGTATCAAATCATTCTGTGAATTCCCAAGACGAAAATCCAATTGAATCCCTATTGAATGTCCCCATTGAATCCCAATTGGCAATTTGGAAACAATGGGTACCCATTGAAACCAATTGGCAATTGGTCCCCATTGAAACCAACTGGCAATTGGTTTTAATGGGGACCAATTGCCAATTGGTTTCAATGGGTACCCATTGTTTCACTTTCCATGTACTCCAAATTGCCAATTGGTATTGACTGGGGATTCAATGGGGGCATTCAATGCGGATTCAATTGGTATAAATCGATCCAGTAAGAAGAACCAGTAATAATTACTGATACTTCGTAATCGATATTGGCAACTGTCCACCAATTAGGTATATTCCAATCTCATTTGCACTAACTTCATCACGAAGATCATTTGAAGTGAATTCAAGAGTTGCATTTAGAATGGCATTGGCTCGTACACATATATATACTAAATATGTATATTGTTTCTTGGTTAGTAATCATATAATCAATATATCTATTGCTAAAACGTGAATGTAATTGTAAC